ATATATATGGCGAGCCGTATCCCAACCATTCATATGGTTATCTTCATTGTTTATCTCATTCAGGCTGACTTCCTCCGTGTCGGGATAAGTTGAAATTGACACTCTTCTTTTGATCTTTTCAACGTCGTTGTTGGCATTCTGTCAATTTTTACAATTTTCAAGTAATTAATTTATTTTTATTAAATAACATTCAGGATCGGCATGATTACCACGGCATATGGACTCTTCACGAACATCTCGGGAGCATCCTTCGTCATGAACAACAGGCACCAATTTATCCCCATCAAGTACTAGTCGATAGATTAAGGTTCCCCATACCCCGTCTCATCACTTAAAACTGAAGTACCATTTCCAGATTTAGGTACATACCAAATCTTCGAGACTTCTGGTACCACCTATGATACTTCCCGCTATGGCTAGCCTGGATATTCCAAATACATCAGTTGCGTGGTGTGGTATCAGACAACTTCCAACTTCGCTCTGATACAGAATTGCGGATGACAACCTTGCGCTCCCTGGTATCACGTTCAAAAGATCTCAGACCGACTTATCCCATATTACCACTACAAGTGTGGGCCAGCTTTACTCCACGCAATGGTACACAGGTTTTAGTTCTCACCCAATGGTAGAGGTATTCTGTGTCCATCGCCGTAAACTAACGCACCGTATATCTTCCACCGTTGCATCACTCGCCCCGAGATTCTCGCGGCAGTTCGACAATCCTAAAACAATTTTTCCAGAAACTCTTCAACGAATATGAAGCATGATGTACGTGTAGACACAAAATATTATCCAAATTAAAATAAACACTATTATCCCTACCATCTTCTAAGACCTTAACTTCTACTTCTTCTTTTAGGGATTTAGGGATTTAGGGATTTAGGCGGCGCGGAACTGCAATAACTTTTATTCATAGGTGATTGGAGCGACCCTTATCGGCAAGATCAAGGTTCAAGGATTGACTGAATATATAGATATGAGGGGCAGACCGACTATACACAAAACCGATTAAATATAGTTATATGTATATGATAGCGCACGGTATGACGAGAACAGAAGCTGAATTTACCTGGTGGCGGCGCTGAGGGTGGGTAGTAATCATCGTCGTTCGTTCGCACATCAAAATCTTCAAGTCGTTTCCGTTTACCAATTGCATCCACAAACCGTAGAGCAACGTTTACAAGCGCGTCACAATTCTGGACCACCTGATCCTCACGTTTTCTCAGCTCGTTCATAATGCTTACTTGGCGACCCCTTGAATTCCTAAGTGAATCCAACTGTCTACTCCCTACCTCTTCTTTGGAGTTCAGATCGGCACCTATCTCCAAAACCTTTTCTTTTCTCCCTCTTCGATTTGCGCGTTGGTAGATTCGATTTCCTTTTGCTTGGCAGCGCGGAGCAAATTAATACAGACCACGTGTGCAAATCGGTCTGCTGAAGTTCTTGAATACGCGCAGCCATGTGTCGTTCAACGGGCCTTATGTTTTGCTCAATGTTAGCGTTTCACTGCGGCACGCAAACCCAACACAACACTTCAAAATCCACCCCCCTCCAGATCGTCACTGCAGCACGCATTGCTCACTCACTCTGCTAAGCCCATTGTTGCCTTCCAGTGCTTGTACTACTATTACGTCCACGCGGATAGCCTCCATGACCCAAAGACTGTGCAGACTCACCCACAGACAGGCCGGGGTGTCTGTGGTGCGTGTTGTGGTAACATCTGTCGGTCGTGTGCCTGAGATTACTGTTCGGAGAATGGGGTTGGCTAGGCGACGGAAGAGGATCTTACTGACGGAATCACGCTTAGAAACATCGTCAGTGATCATCTTAACCAGACCCTGCATGAATGGAAGGGGTGCCACAGTGTGAGATGTGCTTATAGTACTAATGTGGTGGTCAGATGGAGTGTGAGATGTGCTTATAGTACTAATATGATCTTAAATATACCCTGCATGAATGGAAGGGGTGCTACAGTGTGAGATGGTCAGATGGAGTGTGAGATGTGCTTATAGTACTAATGTGATGGTTAGATGGAGTGTGTGATGTGCTTATAGTACTAATGTGATAGTCAGATAGAGTGTGAGATGTGCTTATAGTACTAATGTGATCTTAAATAGACCCTGCATGAATGGAAGGGGTACTACAGTGTGAGATGGTCGGATGAGGGTGTGTGATGTGCTTATAGTACAAATGTGATCTTAAATAGACCCTGCATGAATGGAAGGCATGCCAGTGTGAGATGGATGTGTTATATGCTACTAACTGTCTGTTGGCACAGAGGTGTGTGACCGTGTGTGGTGCTTGTACTGGTTACTATATTTGTGTTATCGGTAATAAGCGGACTTCGTTTTGTCCATACAACTGCATTCATACTTGAGGTAAACCCTTAAACCAATAAGCCGTACGTCATAAACCCCAAACCCTAAACCCTAAAACCCACAGGTTACACAACCCTAGAGCCCATACAACGTATTCCTGTGGTAAAAATCCGCCTTCAACGTATAACTTCCGTAAACCCAAAACCATCAGTTTCGGCATTCGCTATATCAACCGAGTTGTACTTTTATCAAATACATCGTACAGAAAAAGACATACATCATTTATCAGTCGAGTTGTCAGCTCCAATGCCGGTTCTTCCCCATACTTCTGGACATACTCATAAGAACGCTCAACAAGTACCGGAACAAGCGACTCCAAAGCACCACCCATACACGTGCTGTGGATCAAATCGATCGAATATACAGCATACCAAGGTAAATATT